ATGTGTGTCCTATTTATTTCACTTAAGAGTATGGCCTCAATGTGCATTCACTTAGCTATAAATGTCTGTAGTTTCTCATTCTTTATGGCTGAGTAGCACTCCATTTTATATATAAAATTTTTTTTATCCAATCTCCAGTTGATGGGCAATTGGGCCATTTTCAAGATTTAGCTATTACAAACTGTGCCGCTATACACATGGGTGCACATATATCACTGTGATATGATTCTTTAAATTCTTTTGGGAAGATACCCAGCAGGGGAATAGCTGGGTCAAATGGAACCTGTAATCCTAGTTGTTTGAGGTATCTCCATATTGATTTTCACAGTGGTTGCACTAATCTGCACTCCCACCAACAATGGAGAAGGGTTCCTTTCTCCCCACAGGCCCGCCAGCACTTGTTATTCGTTGATTTCATGATGGCAGCCATTCTTTCTGGGCTAAGGTGGAATTCCCCAGCCCTTCTTAATTTTTTTGAGGCAAGGTCTTACTAAATTACACAAGACCTGAGATGTCATTGATTCATGTTTCATTGACTTGGGCCGCTCCCACCTTTTAGCTGTTCTGAATAATGCTGCTTCGAACATGTATGATGCTTATCTGTGTCCCTGCTTTTAATTTTTTCTGCATACCCAGCAATGGAATCACTGCAGGCTCATACAGTAATTCTGTGTTCAATATTGTTGTTATTGTTTTGCAGTGTTGGGAAGTGAACCCAAGGCCTCCCCACTGACCTACATCCCTAGTACCTTTTGTTTGTTTGTTTGTTTGTTTTTGAGACAGGGTCTCACTGTGTAGTTGAGGCTGACCTGGAAATCACTGTGTAGCCCAGGCTGGTCTCAAACTCACAGCGATCCTCCTACCTCAGCCTCCCGAGTGCTGGGATTACAGGTGTGCAACATAACTATTGCCTTATGTCAAGGACCTTACTCTAGCCCTTTTTATTTAATTAAAAATATTTGTTTGAGACAGGGTCTCACTGTGTAAACTGGCCTTGGACTCACAGGAATCCTTCTGCCTCAGCCTCCTGAGTGTTGAGATTATAAGCATGCCCTAGGCCCTTTTTAAAAGTTTTAAATATTGAGACAGGGTCATGCTAAGTCCTTAAGTGTCCCTGCTGGGCTCCAAGTTGAGACCTTCTTGCCTCGGCTTCCAGAGGGCAGGTTATAGGCATGTGCTGCCACTCACATGCGGCTGTGTTTAAGATTTTGAGGAGCTGTCTTTCTGTTTTCCATAGAGGCTGTACCATTTTACCCTCCTGTCCTCCCTAACACTCACTTATTTTCTTTGTTTCTTAGCCTCTCTGTCTCTATCTCTCTCCTCTCTCCCCTCTGCCTCCCTGTCCCTCTGTACTGGGGATTGATCCAAGGCCTATGCACTAAGGATCTCCCTAACTCGCTAAGTCATCCAGGCTGGTCTCACTCAAATCTTCAATCTTCCTGCCTCAGCCTCCCTAGCGCTGGGGTTACAGGTGTGCACCACCATGCCCAGCCCCTTTTTCCTTTCTTTTCTTTTTGTGCTGAAGATGGACCCCAGGTCTTGTGCCTGCTGAGGCCACGGCCCTCCACCGGGCTCCAGTTCTAGCCCATGGGGGTTTTGATTTGCTTTACCCTCATCGCCTTTGTCAGGGATGTGTTCATCTTTCCTTCCACCCTGCAGGTGCCTTCCAGTCTGTTGGTGGTGTTCTTTGAAGCACAATGAGTTCTTGTTTTATAGTAAAGTATAACCCAGGATTTCTTGATTCATTTTCTTGTTCAAATTCTTCCAGCTTTGGCCATTGGGAATTCTTTCAGGTGCCTGGGATTACTTTATTATTAATAATTGGCTATTTAGCTGTCACCTGCTTTGCAAGCCCAAGGTCCTGAGTTTGATCCCTGGGACACACCACACAAAAAGTTTATTTAAGACAGGGTCTCACTACAGAGCCTAGGCTGGCCTTGAACTCACAGTGATCCTCCTGCCTCATCCTCCTGAGTGCTGGGATTATAGGCATGCACTTTCAGCCTGATTTACTTTTATTTATTTATTTATTTTTGGTACCGGGGATTGAACTTGGGTCTTTGCGCTTGCAAGGCAGGCCACCAAACCGCTGAGCTAAATCCCCGGCCCCTGATTTACTTTTATTATATGCTTTTATGCTGATTTTCTTGGGCTTCTGCCTCATTTCCTGTGTTCTATTAGATTTACCACATTTTAAAAAAATTCTTTTTCTTTCCTTCACAGGTGTGGAAATTATACTTTTTTTTTTTTTTTTTTTGAGACAGGGTCTCACTGTGTAATTCAGGCTGGCCTTGAACTCACTATGTAGCTCCAGCTGGACTAGAACTCACAGTGATCTGCCTGCCTCAGCCTTCCCAATGCTGGATTACAGGTGTGGTACCACGCCTGGCACAATTTACGTCTTTTAGGGTCTAGCCTTTGATGGAGGCTCAGGGGAGGCAGGTGCCCACAGAAAGTTGCTGTCCTGATGCAGCTGTCAGGGCTCAGCTGTGTCCCAGGTGGGGCTCAGCTCAACCTGTCATCAGTGTAGAGCTCATGGGGGCTCTGGGCCTGGGATGTGGCCTTTCATGGGGTCTTCAATGATGGGGTAGGTGTTAGCTCTTTAGGAGGACAGCAAAACTGTAGGTGCAGGGGTTCACTCTGTGAGTTCACCCATGGGACGCCTCCCAGGGCCTGGACTTGACTTCAGGCTCCCCCTCCCAGGGTGGAATGGAGAGCAGCGAGGACTCAAGAAGCCAGAGAGGCCCTAGATGTGCACAGCTGGCTCACACCTGGGCTTCCAGTCCCCATGACTGTCCCTCACCTTCATTTGTAATGTGATAGGCAGCAGCCGCCAGGCCTGTCCCTACTTCCCTTTCAATGCATCACCAGTGACAGGTGCCACAAGCCCAGGGGCACCTTGCTATGGATGGGTATTAAGGGGTAAGTCCCTGATACCACATCTTGTCACAGTTTGGGCCCCAAAGCCAATTGAGGTGGAGTTGGGACAGGAGCTGTGTGCAGGGCTCACCTGTAACAGGAAGTGGGTGTCCTACTGAGAAATTCTGTTATAAACTACAAGGGTGAACACTGGCATGTTCTGCTGTGTGAAGTAAGCCAAATGTGAAAGGAGAAATGGTCAGATGCCAGAGACAGAAACTGGAGCAGTGGCCAGGGTGGAGAGGGCAGGAGGGGCCTTGCAAGGGGAACCGAGGTGAGGCGCAGAGGTTGCTGGTGTGGCTGCGCCCATGTTCATGTCACTGTACCATGCATGAAAAACATTACAAGACAATGGTCTAATGGTCCAAAGGGTTTTTCTTTTCTTTTTCTCTGCAGTGATCAGAAGCAACATGAAATGGGAAATAGAAGTTTTATTTCTTACAGGCCTGGAGGCCACAGAGGATGGTGCCTGGTGTCCTGGGTCCAGATGCCACACAACACTGGAAACTGCAGACCTGGCAGATCCACAGGGAGGGTGCAGTGCAGCTGTGGTTCTGATGCAGCCTCCAGGATCCCAACTTTGAGGTCCCCAATCTGTGAGACCATAACCAAGGCTGCAAGCGCTATAGGGCCTGCTGTACAGGCTGCTGGGGTGTTCATTTCTGCTGGCTGGGATCTGGGTGCCCTTGGTGAAGGTGTTGGGTATGGACGGCCCCACCTCATTCAGAGATGAAGGCCAGTTGGGACCGAGGTCTGCATCAAACCCTTCCACCCTGCACCCACGCAGGCACTTCCTTGAATCCTGCCTGAGCTTCCTGGGAGGTGGCCTGCCGGTCCAGGAGCTGCCTTCCTGGTCACCACAGATCTTTGGACTCAGCAGTTGGCCCCAGTCCTGAGTGAGTACATCCTGCAGCTTCGATTTCTGGCAGCAGCAGGCACCAAGCGCCCCACCTGCTCAGACTCATCAGGCACTGGCAGAGGAGGGGCCAGTGTGCCTCTGTGGGACCCCAGGGTCTTGTGGAGGAGGGAAGGCACCAAGGCAGGGCTGCTCCATGGCTGTGCTGCAGTGGGGGAGCCCTGGGCCCATGAGGGCTCAGATCTGTAACCAGAAATTACTCTCCTCCTCCTTGTCCTCTAGTTCCTTAGTTTTTTAGTATCCAATGCCTTCACACTGAATTATATCCCATTCTTTTAGTTATTATTATTATTATTATTTTTTTGGTACTAGGGATTGAACTCAGGACCTTGTGCTTGCAAGGCAGGTAGCAGAATCACTGAGTTAAATCCCTAGCCCTGGTTATTATTTTTTGAGACAGGGTCTTGTTAAGTTGTGCAGGGTGGGCTCCAATGTGAGATTCTCTTTCCTCAGCCTCCCAGAGCCCTGGGATTACAGGTGTGAACACCGCAACTTGCTCATGTAAACTGAGGGCTTCAGCCAGGCCAGCAGCTCTCATGCCTACTGCCTGGGTAGGGATAGCGAGGACCTGGGCCACTGGGATTCGGTGCCACTGCTCCATGGTTAGCTAGACCCGGGTGGAGAGGTTGGTGCCCATCTAAGGAGGGAGCTCAGGGGTCTGGGTACTTTGGGTGCCACACTCTGGCCGGGCCAGGCAGGCCCTCGCGAGGGAGCTGGCTCTGCCTTTTTGAGTGGGAGGGAGATCAGGTTTCCTTGGGAAGCCCCAGAATAGCCCCCGGCTGCCTGGAGGAAATCTGGCTCCAGGTCCACCTGCTCCACCGCCCTCAGCCCTGCCCAGCACGCCCTGCCTGTGCTGTGGCCCTCATGGCCTCTGCAGGGGCTGAGGATCCTGATGCCCCAGCTACCCAGCCAGGCTCTGTGGTGGTCACCAGGGTGGTGCTGGACTGCTGGGGACAGAAAGGGCCACTGGATGCCAGCTGGCCAGGATGGCCTCACCTGAGAGACCTCGCCAACAGCCGCTGCAGCCCAGGACAGGGGAGGGCAACAGACTCAGGCTGTGTGGGGAGAGGGATAGTCACTTGGGCCTGCCTGCCCCTGAGCTTGGTCCTTGATGCTTATCTTCAGGGTGTGGATGCCCAGGCTGAAGTGGGCAGGGGAGGGCCCCATGGAGAAGGGCTGCGCCAGTCCCCAAATAGGTAGCATTTCCCGCCCACACAAGCCTTTTGGAATCCAGACCCCAGGGACCCCAGGCAGCTGGGCCTGGCTAAGACCCGGCTGCCACCCAGGTGCCATGTTCTCAGCCTGCAGCAGCCCTGGTGTTTCTACCTGCCCTGTCCTCAGTCAGCCACAGCCACGGTGAGGCTGCTCAGCACCTGGGGCCTGATGGGCTGGGTGGAAGGATAGGGGCAGGGAGAACAGCTGGGGGTGAGGGCCAGGGCCCTTCTGCTCCAGGTTGGGGGTACAGTGGCCCTTTCTGGTCCCCAGTGTGCCCCTGGTCTCACTGGCACCCACTGCCTCAACCCCTGCAGCCCTGCTGCCCCTCCCAGGAGTGGGCTTTGCCCTGCTGTCTTGTTCTTGGCCAATCCAGAGCCCCCATACATCCTGGAAGCCCACCCTGTGCCAGGCCCTGCTTTTGCCCTGGAGGGGGCAGGGCAACCCCACTGAGTCGGGTGTGGGGTGCCCTGCAGACGGACAGCTGTCAGTTGAGCAGATCAGGAGTACAAGGGCATTTCTGAGATGTTCATTGAGGAAAGCAATGAGGATGGTGAGTTGGAGTCACTGACCAGCCTGCTGGGCATGAGCTCCACCAAGAGTGAGCTGGTCTCCATAGCCAAGGTTATGCACAGACAGCAGGGTGGGTGGCCCAGGTGGGGACAGCCCCAGGTGGGCCTGTGTGTGTGCAGTGGGTGGGGATGGGCCCTCCTTGAGCCCCAGGACCCAAACTGCCTGCAAACAAAGGCTTCTTCCACTGCGGGCAAGTCAGACCGAGGCAGGGATCAGGGAGAGTGCCCACAGGTACCTGCTCATGAGCGCGGGTGACCCCCTCAGCCAGGTGGAGGCTGGGCAGACGATGAAGGAGGCTGACAAGGACAGGGACCAGACCATTGCCTTCAGGGAGTGTGCGGCCAGCAGGGAGCATGCAGTGGGCTGGAACAGGGTGACAACCTGTTTCTCTGCCCATGGAGTTCGTGGCCATGATGACCCTAGAGTCCTTCAAGCTGGTTCAGTAGGAACAGCTGCCACAGCTACAGGACGCCGGGCTGGGAAGGCTGCCACTGTCCTGCCCACTGGCTCCACTGGTGGGAAATAGTCCAGCCTGACTCCTGTGCCTCACTGTCCCCAGCCCTGGGGTGTCCTGGGTCAGGAACAGTCCTCTGAGAGCCTGTCAGTCCCTCTTCCCTGCTCCATGCTCTGAATGCCAGCCTGAAGGTCACTGGGACCATGTGATTGCCCCCTGTCTGTACTCCCTGGGGCACCCAAAGCCACCTCACAGGCGGAGACCACTGAGATATAGCTTTATTCTCTCCTAAAGGAGCTGTGGACATCATGGCTGGTCCTGAGCTCACGCAGCTCAGGCCCTCGATGCCTCTTCCAGGCTGAGGCCTGTGAGCCCGGCCAGGGGCTGGGGCAGAGAGCGGCGGCCTGCCTGGTGGGCTGGCCAGTGTGGCCGGTGACTGGCCTGGTTTCATGGCATCGAGGCCAGGGCTGCAGCAATGTGCTGAACGGCAGCCTTACCGGGGAGGATGAGGGCCGATGGGGTCCTCAGCTGCAGGACTCCAAGCCCTGGCTCCATGTCTCCAGGAGAGCCCTCTTGCTCCTACAAGGGACCCCAGGGCTACTGGGCATTAGGACCTGGCTCCTGGGGCCTTGGGGTGGTTCCCAGGCCCAAAGGCACTGGGAGAGGACCTGGTTTCTGGGCAGGAGTCAGCTCCTCATCTCTGGGCTTCGCCATCTTGATGGCCTCATTGTAGGAGGGTGGCAGCTCCAGGGCAGACGAGCTGTAGGCCGGTGGGGCCATGAGGTCAGGGTCCAGCTCCCCAAAGGGCAGCAGCCGCCGAATGTCCAGTGGATACTGCACAGAGCTGTAGGCTGCAGTAAGCAGAAGGGGGTCTGTGTAGGGGCTGGGCACCACCCCACGGCCGCACCCCTTCCCGGTCTGGCACTCACAGGTCACGGTGCTATGCACAGGGCTGTCACTGTCCATGGGGATGGCCGTCAAGTCACAGGGCTGCCACATGGGGGACAGGCGTGTCTGAGTGTGTGCCTGCTTTCGGAGACAGCAGAACCGGATGCAGCTGGCAGTGACCCCACACAGCAACAGCAGCAGGACCGCGAGTATGATGAGCCTGGTGGGGAGGAGTGAGCCCCACTGCTGCACTGACCCCTGCCCTCTAGGCACCTGCACCCTCTGGCCTGTGGCTGCCCAGACACCCAAGATGCGACAACGGACAGGTGAAGAGGAGTCCAGGGCACCCTCTCCACGCCAGAGGCCTCCTGGCCTGTGCAGCTGCACGCCCTGGCTGGGGTGGCCTTGGGCTCACTCCCAGGACACGCTGTCCCCAGCCGACTGAATAAGCCGACTTGCCTTCTGCTGTGATCGGCCTTGCACCCGGCCAAAGCTCTCGCCAGCGGCAGGGATGGGGGCAGCAGGCGGCCGGGGTCCCCAGGTGAACCGCCAGGTCGGCGCGAACGTGGCCTCCACTTACCCCACGTGCCACAGGCTGCTCCAGCG